GGCCATAGTCTCCTGAATGATAGTTTGCCAATAGAAAAAACTTATGAACAATATGAAGGACCAACATTTCTCAAATATCTTGGGCACCTTAATGATGTTTCTATGGCAGAACTTAAGGCTCTAGGAGCTGTGTTAGATGTCACCATATGTTAAAAGTTGCTGTGAATACAGAAACACTCTGGCATGTCTTCTTCCTCCAGGCAAGTGGATAACCTACTTAACCCAGCTTTTTGTTTATTTGTTTTCAAACCCATTTTTTAAGAGAAAAAAATGAGGGAGAGGGTAAAGAGGAAAAGGTGAGGGGGAATGGAAACATTTTACATATGAATCATATCTCATTTTAATTAGTAATTGCTAATAGAAAATTAGTTGAAAATTAACCCTTAATTGTTTGTTTTCAGATAATGACCAACACCTTTCCACTAGTTATTTGTCTAACACTATAAATTTTCCAGAGTACTTTTACTTTATCATTTTATTCACAAAATATCTTTGTCAGATTGGTGAAGTACCTTCTTTGGATTGATAAGTGTAGATACTCAGAGATAGTCACTTGCCCAAAATTACATGTTGAGTAAGAGGCGATTGGGAACATCTGCAATAACAGAGGCAGTGGGAACATTTTGGCCACTATTTCATATGTTTTTCATTACCTTGTGCTCCTTTAACTATTGTGGCTGGAATTTGACTGTTGGAATTTTATTTTATTCATAAAATAAAATCTAATGGTACAAAATCCATGTTGTCTTCTGCAGCACCAGAAGATAAAACACAAGGTATTAGAAATTGACATTGGTCTTCAGATAGTTCAGCTGATTCAATCATAAATTAACTTGTAAGATATGATGGTCAGGTAAAATCAAGAGCAAATATATTCTTCATGGATTAAGTGATACTTCTCTGGTAAGCACAAAGAAAACTGGGAGAGACAAACTAATTGCTTAATAATGGCATCTGCTAGTCTCCTTTGCTCTGGTTATCTAGAAAAACTAATACATATTGTATTGTAAGTAAATTACTAAATTAAAAAATACTTCCAAGTTAATGCCAGGTCTCTGTTCTTCAAGGGGAACCTGTAAAAGATCCTTGCTTTAAAAAGTTTTGCCTCACTTGACATTTAATTTCAAATTGTTTATCTTTAAGTCAGCAATAATTAGATGCTACGACCAGCTATTCATCATGAATTGCAGAATACATTTTCCCCAGAGGAGAAAGAGCTGTGCTTTGCATAGAGCAAGTCAAAGAAAACCAACACATCTGAGAGCAGATGTTTTAAAAATAAATATCCCTTTCTGGTCCCTCATGAGGTACCCCTGTACCATGCAAAAGTAGTGCTGTATTAGCCAAATTCTAATAAATAGGCTTCAGTGCTTAGTCCTGTACTATCAGAGAAAATAGATAATCTGATATTAGATAATAATCACTTGTATTTCCATGAAAGAAACATGTATTAATTTGTTAGTACATATTGTTCATGAAACAGGCAAAGTTGTGGTTGCTGTATTCAACAAGAGTGTGGAAAATAGTAGTGTGGTTACTTTTTTTTAATTAAAAACAATTTTTTTTTTAATAGACAGGGTCTTACTATGTCACCCAGACTGGTCTGGAACTCCTGAGCTCAAGCAGTCCTGCGTCAGCCTCCCAAGTAACTGAGACTACACAGGCACCACCATGCCTGACTGTGCAGTCACTTTTGAATTGCATGGATTTGGATCTAAGCCAATTATATTACATCATTAACTCTGCCTAACAAAACAAATAGGAAGTTAACCTGAGATGTATATTTTTTAAAAAAAATGTGTATTTGTCACTGTATCAGCAGGTAAACTTAAATGAGCTAATAAAAAAACATGTATTTGTCACTACATTGGCAGGTAAACTTAAAAGAGCTAACTTTGAAGAAACTACACAAAACCTGTATAGGAAAAAGTTGTATGGAAAGGAAAGAGAAAGAAAGTATAACTTCAGGTACGTAATTTAAGTGTAAATGTAAATAAGCATCATTATTTTAAGGTCATAAGAAAAGAATTTAGAACAAAGAAGTGATCATTTTAATAAAATGGATTGGCCTCAATTGGGGTTTGAGTGTTGTAGTGAAGTCAGAATTCTTTTGATGGAAAACTACTTTGACTCCATCCTATGTTTAATGTTATATTAAGCTTTTATTATGCAGTTGTTATTATATATATATATGTTTTCCAAAAGTAGGTAGTTAACTAAATTACTTTTAATGAATTTGCCTACCTGAAAGAAGTTGATCCCTTAGAAGGCAATAATCTAACGTGTTTACATTTTGAATAGATAGAATATTGAAATAAAACCATTATGCTTTTCTCAGGGGTTTGTGCATCTCAGTGTAGCCCTTTCCATTTAAGAGTTGTGGCAAGATGTTGCCAAAACTTTGCTCATTAATTAAAACCTTCAGGTGAATGTAATCAGCAGCCCAAAAGAAAGTGAGAGAGAACAGCTGTTGCTGCTCCTGCTCTAAAAGCAATGTGATTTGTTTGAATAGGAGACACAATTTTATTTTACTTGGTTGCGTGAAAAAGTAAACTTTCTTCTAGAATCCTATTCAGGCAGTGGCACATAACCAACAATTTAGGTCACTAGGCAGTAGACTCCGAGGATGGTGGCTAGATTAAGTCAATTTTATTTAATGTCTAAAATGAGTTCGACATCCTTTTATATTTAAAAAGTTTTTAAAAATTACATCACTGCATTAGAGGAAGGTCCACTTTCCAGAGAAGCCAGGGAAAGATCAGTTATTATTTTTACTGAAAGTAGATTACAGTCATCTTAAAATTACATATCACAGTGACTTGACATTGACCAGAACATTCTTAATACAGAATATTATAGAATGACATTTAAATGATATACTAAAAGTAAGACAAGTTAAATATGTGTGAATTTAAAATACAAAGGAACATGAAAGAAAATGTAGTCAGCTGAACAAACTAGATCTGGGTTAATATAATAATCTCTCCCTTTCAAGATGTGTGCCATGAAAGTAATTGACAACAGTGATTTAAAATACGTTTCTGAGTTAAAAAACAGAAGCAAATGTGCTTCACAGAGTATTTATTTTATTGTTAGCTTGTCCCTGGAGGACTTTATTCCCACCTCCTTCCCCCTAGTCTTAGAGCTTTGAAGTTTACAGATTCTGGATTCTGCTTCATGGTTTTTCTGGTCCCCTTGTTGTAATGTGCTGTATGCTTCACACATCCATTCTAGAACACAATTTCCCTTCTAACTAAGGAACAAGAATTTTGGTGAAAAATTCTTGCTACTTAAGACTCTTGCCAAACAATCTACAAATGGAAAGGAGTCTGGAGACCGTAACCACTATTGGCAGCTTAGGAAGTATTAGGTAATAAAGAAGCAATGATGAGAAGCAAGTGATGCTGACTCCTGCATTTTGTTAGATCTGATTCTGCATATATATTAATAATGATGCACCCTATGGATGCAATTTCATGTTTATAACACTTTGGCCATTGGCAGCATTGTGCAGCTGTGTTTTCCATGCCTTCCCATCTGCTGCCTACAGCCATGCAGATTCAGGTGACAGAAATATTTTATATAAAAGTTAATTAGCCTGCATGCTACAGATCAAATCTCTGTAGTTCAGCTAGGAATCTTCTGAGCAACTGCTGAAAATGGCTTGGACTCACCCTTCCTCAGATTAAAAATGTAAGATTTATTTTTCTAGAAAAATAAATCTTTAGTATTCCCTTGACAATTTATGCACAGATTCTATCAAACTTTTCGTTGTATATTGCCCTTGCTCATTTTAGCTTTTATCTCTGGATATATATCAACAGTGGAACAAGATTCAAAATATATTTTTCCAGCTGCAAGAGTTGAGTGACAGTGATGTAGGTCAGAAATCATCCAGGGTGTGGATTATTTTACTAGTACATTGACCAATGTTGACCAAGTCCCTGACCAAGTTTCTCAGTCTTTAAAATGGGCCCATGCTAATTACCTATTTGCTTCATAAATACTTTGTGCAAGGCTTAACACAGCTTGAGATTATAATAAAAGTAACATATAAAAGGCAGAGAACTCATTGCTAAAAGGATTCTGTCTTGTCCTTAAATATTCATCTCCTCCTTATTACTTGTCAACCTTAAGTTCACAAATAGCTCTTTCATTGAAAACATATTTAGCTTTTTTTAATCGATAGGAAACTGTATCATTTAATTCCTTTTTAAAAAATTCTTAGATAATGGGAGGGGAAATGGACTGAACACAACTGAATACTAGCCTCTTGAGTCCACTTTACTTAGAAGGAAAATGGGGACAAAGAAACAGTTCCCAAATAAATCTCCCCATCCGTCTTTACGCTTTTATATATTTCTAATTCTTTCCAATACCAAAGACTAATTGACCACTCTTCTTTACCTATCGCTGCTTCTGTACTAGGTGCAGATTTTCTGTTTACCCAAAGGAATTGAGAACGATATGCTTTCTTCCTTACACCATTGCCTAAAGCTCAGGCGTACCTTCCGAAGAAATAAAAGATAGCAGATAATACTTTTCCGCCACTTGCTTTCAGAGTTCCTCACGGGAGTGTGACACCTAGCAGGGAGTCAGTTACCCCACCCCCATTCCCTGCTTTCAACCGTCTTCAGAACCTTGACTGCTCCCCACGGTCCTGAACCTCGACTTCTACTTCCGTCGGGCATCTACTAGATTTCTCCCAGCTGGTCAAAATATGATTTTCTCTCGTATTCTCCCTACTTCTTTCCTTCCATCCGCGACCTCACTGCGCATTTGATTCCCATCCGCGCTTAAAATGTTTTATTCTACTTCTACTAAGGTCCTTCTACTACCACCTACGAACATGAGCCCAATCGTTAAACAATATCAAAGTTATAAAGCAACAACTCCCTTCATAATTTACCCGGCCGTTTTCTCCCCTCCCCCCCACCCCATGCAATGGCCCCGGCCCCCAACAGCGCCCATCTCCACTCCACGCAGCAGACTCCTCTCACCTGACTCTCCCGCGGATACTCGTGGCGCACAATGCTGATCACTGGAATGTGCAGGACTGAGCTGACCAAGTCGAGCTCCATCATCTCACCCTGGCTCTGGGGGAAGGCAAGCAGTGCCGACACCCCTTGCACCACCACGGTATGGCAAACACTTTGCAGGAAGGAGAAAGGGTCACTGCTCCAAGGCGAGCTAGGGGAGGAGAAAGGCAAAAGCGGCAGATCGCCCAGGCCTGCCTCGATGGCCATCACTACTTCCAAAGACAGGTTGTAGGGCAGTAGCCCTTCCACGCGGTTCAGGTTGTCCACGGCGAATAGGAGGGCGTCCCTTGGCCACAGGGTCTCCGCCCTGGCGCCCTCCCCGGGCTTACGGGCGCCCGGCGGCCCCCGGCCTTGCAGGGTACTCCCCAACCAGCGTGCGCCCGGCGAGGGAGCCAGGGGCCGCCTAGTCCCTGGATCAGGCTCATCCCGCTGGGTTCCTGCCCGGCTGCCGTCCGGAGCGCGGCTGGCAGCGCGGGGGGCAGTGGTCCAGGGCTGCAAGTGCACCGCGCCCACCCTCACCGCGTGCCCGATGCGCTTCAGGATCTGGCAGGGCTGCGGGTGCGAGGAGGAGCCGGGCACCCCAGCCAGCACCAGTGCGCAGGGCGGCGGCAACAGCAGACAGACCCTGCTCAGCAGCCACCACAAACTCAGTCTCCTCATTACTGAGACCTCAGGGAGAAAGCGCGCCCCCTCCTGCGTCCGGCTCGCCCCTCTGCAGCCGCTGCCTGAGGTCTCCGCCTCCAGGTCCCGCGCGCAGCTTCACTCCACTCGGTGAAGCGGTCCCAGGACCTAGAACGGTCTCTAAGCCATCCAAGTTGGAGCCTAGCGCGCACCCAGCAGTCTCAAAACCGGCTCCCAGGTCCCTCCGCCGGGCATCCTCTGCCCGCCGGGTCACTGCGCGGAGCAGACAGGCAGGCTGGCTGGCGCCTGTCATCCGCGGCTGGAGCGCATGTTCCCTGCCCGCCCCATCTGCAGGGCGCCTCCGGCACTGCGTCCAGCCCCACGAGGCGTCGGGGCTGAGAAGTAGCCGGGGTTCCTCGGGGGCAGCGGTGACAGAGGAGCAACGCACTCTCGTTGGATTCTTTTCCTTTTCCTCCCAGGCGAGATCCACTTATTTCCTGGGGTCTCGTTGGAGAGGGCGTTCACGCCCGGGGTGCGGAAAAGAAGCCAAATCCGCCTTGCTCCGCTGTTGGCCACCCTCCTGCAGGCTCCCCCAGCGCTGACTTCATTTTCTCTCTTCTCTCGCTACTTCCTCCCTGCCTTTCTTTGGTTATTTTTTCCGCCAAGTCGCCAACGCGGCTTGCTACCTCGGAGGAGCAACGCTACTGGCCAGCAAAGGGTGGCTCTGCTCCGAGCGCCAAAGTTCTCCCCGCCTCAGCCGGTGCCTCCCTGTTGTTGCGCCCTGGCGCCTGCCTGTCGCTTGGCTGCGCTAAACGCCCACTGTTGGTGAGATTACCGAGTGGCTCATCCGGCGCCCCTGTAAAGTCCTTTCCCCTCTGGCTGGGAGTCGTAGTTTGCAAAATTCCCTGAGACCTAAGAAGGAAAAAAGTACTCTCAGCCGTTGAGAATTCTGAATTCGGAGTCGCACCCGAGGGATCTGAAATTCGGTAGTTCACTGAAATAGGTTCAAAGAGGCTGTGCCTTAACTAGCTTCTGGATGTGCTGCTTTTAAGATTTTTTTTTTTTTTTTTTAGCTAAGGGTATTCAAGTGAGAATTATTTACACATTTTATCTCCTCAGCTTCTTTCTCTCTGGCATGTGGGCCTTTGCATTTTTTTTTTTTTTTTTTTTTTGAATCCCTATGTTTTTAGGTTCTCAGAATTAAAGTGAATTCAAAGCAATTTTTTTAGTTCAATAAATTAAAGAGTTTCAAAATACTTTTAGAGTTTCAAGTGCAGTCAACAGCCGTTCCCAGTTTAGACCAAGAGTCCCCAGATCACAGTTTCTATTAAGTTATTTCATTTGTATGATAATACAGTAAAGTCAATGTATTTTGATCCAATTTTTCCTCGATGATCTGAATAACCTGAAATTAGAAGGTAAAAAAAGAGTTAAGGGCAGGCCTATGGTTTGCACATATACAGTAGATTAATTTCATTTTATGCCACAGTATCATTTAGAAGAAGGGTGGCAGAGAGATATCCATGGGGTGGAGCTAGCACTGGGGATCAGCATTTCTGAGTCTAATACCACTTCAAGAGAACATGACCTTGGCAATTAATTTCACCCGACCTTGGTTCTGCTAAATTGTTATGTAAATACAGCTGGCTTTAGCTCTGGAGGGTTGTTTTGATTCATGAGCTAAAGTTTCCATCATGCTTTAAATCCTGGGATGAAGAGACTCTAGTTAAGTAAAAATCCCACGAAGGTTGCAAAGTGAATGCTGTTTTCCTCAGCCCAGATCTTTAAAGTTATCTCAGAACAAATTTACCAGAAATTCAACATTGTTTTTCCAAGACTGTTTTGCTACAGAAGAAAAGTCTTCTATGAGAGAAAAGTGAAAATCACAGTAGGGGGCTGAACAAGGAAGGAAAGAGACCCTCCTGAAGCCTGAGAGAACATCCCAAGAATGGAGATAAGCTGTCTCTAGTGTGCTGGAAATTCCCCCTTGTTCCAGGGGATTCCACTGATTGAGATATGAATAAGAAAAGTGTAGAAGTCTGGGGTCCTTGCATTGCAGGAAGATTGGATATCTACTAATTGTATAGTAAAGAGGTGTATTTGTCAGTACTTGAGTATGTTTTGAAGAGTATAATGTATAGAGTATAATGGTACTCTTAGTTCTTGGCATTATACCTATATTCAGATCCAAGAAAACACATGATGAGGGAGAATAGTTTGATCTCATCATTAAGAGCATCCTAAAATCACTGTATATGCATTAGGTTTTTCACAAGTTCATGACTGCCTCAAGTGAATGAATAATGAACTGCTCATACACAGAAGAGGTGATTCCCAACTTTCTGAAGATGGTGCTGTGCCAGGTGGTGATCGAACCCTAGTTAAATCTGGTGAAATTGAGTGAACAGTGAAGAATGGCTCTCCCTTCTTGTGTTTTCTTTTGTTTCTTTCCAAGCTTTTCTGTTATAATTCACTGGTGTCCTTCCTGTTTTCCTTTTGCTGCTTGTTTTCACTATCCATATCACAGTGGGCTGAGCATATCTGACAAGAGTGTTCTCTCTCCTCTCCCCAAATCTTCTTTTTCCTTTCATTTTTCTCCTTTTTCTCCACCTTTTTCATGTGTCAAAGGTCATCTTTTTCAAAGGTCATTTAAATTCAACAACCGATTATTAAGCTCCTAATATATCTCAGGCATTGTTGTGGGACCATCCTGGAAACAGATGAATAAACTCTAGAAAAGTTGAGTTTTCCCCTTTCCACAACATCACACAGTCAATAATGAACCAAATGCTAACATAGAGCTTATATCTGAGTGGGAAAGAGACAGTAAAACATACAAATAAGTAAATAAATGCAGGATATGTTAGTTGGTGCAAAGAAGGAAAAGAAAGCAGTGTAGATGAAGCATTAGGAGGATGGGTTATAATTTTAAATGAGAAAGCCAGGGAAGACCTCTCTGAGAAGACAGCTTTTGAATAAAGATGTAAAGGGAGGTAAGGGAATGATCCCTGTGAATACTCTAGGTAAGAATTTCCAAGCAGGGGAAGCTAAATGCCAAGGCCCTGAGTGTTTCTGGAAGGTTTAAAGAATAATGAGGGGTCTGGAGTGGATGGAACAAAATATTCCGGGATGAAAGTGGTGGTAGGTCAGGTCAGAGAGGCAATGAAGAGGTGGCAGATAATGTAAGCCAATTAAAAACTTTAGCTTCTACTCTAAATGAGGTCAGAAGTCATGAGGGCAGGGGCATTGAGCAGAAGGGTGATAGACCTAATACTGTAACCGATTGCTACAGCTGTTTTGTTACTAATAGATGAAAGATGGATAAGAGTGAAAACCAGAAGAGGAGAAAAGGAGATGAGGCTATTGCAACAGGCCACGTGAAAATTAACATTACTGTCAAATCATAAAAATCAACCTCATTAGGTTTGTGTAATCATTCCCATTCTAAAGAAGAGGATACTGAATTTCAGAAAGGTTGAGTTATTTGCACAAAACCATCATATACTAACTGGCATTTTGGCTTCAATATTTTAAGTGTCTCCCAGCTGCATGATTGGTAACAAAAATCAGTTGAATTTCAAAATTGGCTTACTCAGAGATCAAGATTTTTAAATAATGTTATCTGATTCAAAATGAGAACTGATCTAAGAACCCATGTTAGAGAGTCAAACAATTCACAACAAATCCAAATGCTCACAATTTAACATGTGCTTTTGTCCACATCTGTGCTTCCTGGTACCAGCAATGGGTGGACTAAAAGCTGTGATATATTGCTGTGGCAGTGGCCCAGGAAAGGCTACAGTAAAGGATACTGTGGGAATTAGGAGTTAGATTCTCTTCTCAGTATTATTTTTCCGGTGCATATGACATTTAACCTCTTACACCTGAAGTCCTCTTCTGTACTGTGGTTGTGGTGACAGCTCTTGGCAGTTATCCACATCGATGTGACAGTATGCTGCCTCTGGTAAACCTTTTCAAGTTCCATGGGAATGGGAGGCTTCTGCTGAGTCTGGAAAACTAACTTGTGTTTTTTCCTATACTTTGACTTATTACAAGTTGTATTCACATCTATCTTTGTTTTGTAAATGGCCATAATATTAATGGCATGTCCCAAATTCTGGGTCAGCCTTTTTTAACAATAGTAATTATGTAGATTTTATCAATATTTGATGAAAAATGCATCATTCTCCCTAGCTAGTGCATACCCATAGTCTCAAATTATGCTCTTTCACATTGACTCCTTTGTTTCTATTGCCAAGGACCTTGTTTTCATGTGAATCTTTCTGGATAGAAGGAAACAAACAAAAAAAATGTGGCGCTCTTAGAGAATCTGTGGTAGTAGAATTTTAGGAGGGAATGAATATAGTAAAATTTAGGTCAGTTTAGAGGAGCAGATCCTGAGGGGTCATCTTTACAAAGCCTAATTATTTTTTTTCATTCCCTCAATTAAAAATAAGCCTACATTCACTCAATACTTTGTAACGCTATGCTACATTCTACTAATTAGGCATTAATTTTGGCAACAATCATTCTCTTTAAAAAATGCAAATAACTCTCATGGTTATGGGACTATCAATCACAGATTAGTATAAATTATTTTATCCTGATTGGTGTAAGATTAATATCCTGTTGGGATTTTAGGGTGAAGAGAAGGGAAAGAAGTTTATTTTGCATTATAAAAGATTTGAGGAACATAAAAGATCTTAAGGAAGAATTTCAGAAGATGTGCCAAAAATCTTCATTACTCTAGAGTTGTTATCTTGAGTAACTTCTACATGCCAGGCACATTGCATACAGCATCCAGGTGGAACTTCCCTCAGTAATTTTTAGGCAGCCTGAGAAACTGGAAACAGGAGAAAACCCACCTTAGAAACTAAGGAAATGGAGTGACAGAGAGGAAGCAAAAATCTAGTCTATCTTGTCCAATTCAAAATACTGCTTATGCTTTGACTTTATGCTGGAAAATACAAAGGAAACTGTCTTTTCTTGTGCATCACATAATCCCCTATACCTAGGAAGCCAAATTCAGACCAGGGCTATTACCTATCTGTAAGTTAGGAACTGCCAATAGTTGTTTACCTTTTAGCTATGAAAAAGCACATTATGGTACCTTTAATCTACTTATTGTCAGGGGAGTCAGTCATCAGTTGTGACAAGTGCTTGGACTTTTCAGTACCCACCAGGATTATTAGCTGAGTGTTTGGATTTCCTGGTTTCTCTTCTAAACCACATACTAAAGGCAACTCAAATAGGGATTGGAGAAACTAATATGGCAGTCTCTCTCAATCACTCTCTTTTTTGTGTGTGTGATAATCATTCCAATTTAGTGTTTATCCAAATGAGCTATGGAATAATACCTGGGCCCTCATAGACTAGGACATTTTTAAGGACTTTTTTTTTTGTGATTAATTTGCAGCACTAGTTTTATAACTGCAGCCAAAAGAATTTGGAAATTTTCTAAAAGCTTATTTGCCTTCATGGATGCCTTGCATCTGTAAAAATATTTAATCTACAGAAACATGGTTTTTATTTCTTTAGAAAGAAACTTCAAGAAAGACTTTCAGATGATGTTCAAGAATTATGCAGCCTTCATTATTCTAGAGCTTTTACCTTGAGTGACATCTGCATGCCAGGTACTTGGCACACATGATTTCTTAATTTCATCAATAGGCAGTTGTCCTTATTTTATAGATGATGAAACTGAGAGTTGGTGAGGCCAAGTCATTTGCTGAGAAATGTGATGCAAAACCAGATTTGATATTCTGTCTCCAAAGTTCATGCTTTCTCATCTCTACTTACAGCATGAATGAAACCATTATGGCCAGCCTGGGCTGACTGTTGAACCAGTATCTGAGTATTGTACAGGGACAAACATAATTACAAAGTTTATTTGATTATTTATTACTTATTAGAGTATACAAATGAAAATCAAAGATAATATTTAAGATGATCTCAG